CTCTGAAGAGAAGGGATTAAACGCTGCGGCAGACAGGGAGAATGAAAAAACAAATCAAAGAAAACTAAAAGAAAAAGGTGGGGGCGAGAAGGCAAGAGAAAAGAAGGTGAAGTCACTCGCAGGTGAAGCATATAGGCCTACATGTCGCAAATTGACAGACCTTTTTGGCAGCAGCGCTGCTACAAGCACTATCAGCAGCAGCTTAGAACAAGCGCAAGATGATGAAGAGAATGATGAGGGCGCGAGTTCAGATATACAGCCAGCCTCCTGCGTTCATGATGAGGGACAGAGTTGAGCTGGTGGAAGAACCAGCTCAACTGGCACGTATAAGTGCAGGGCAAGAGCAAGAGGTGGGTGGGAATTATCCCTTGAACTCAGTGGCGTTTTCTCCTGGAGGCCAAGGGAAGCCAGGATTCCCCTGTTTTTTTGGATTGTAGTTATAATTTTAATAAATAAATAAAAACACTTAGTTTAGTTTCGTAATTATTCTGCCGGCCCGTCTCTCCCCCATTCTCATTGAGTATTTTACAAAGAGTGAAACAGCGCCCCTCTGTGCTATGGTGAAACAGTAGATTGCACTCTCTGTTGCGAGACGAGGCCAGCCGAAATTGGCTTCCCTTGGTGAAAAAAAATTGAGGGATTGACCAATCAGATGAGGCTCACGTCATGCCTCACAATCCAATCAAATCGCATCAACTTTAGTTCGTACTGTATCACCACCCTTAAAAAGTAGCAAGCAAGTGCAATTATGGAGGGTGGAGATTTGGAGTATTTCATCAAAAATAATTGTACTAAACTTCCGCTACAGCAGCAACTAAAAATGAAATCTGATGACAGGCCAATGCCCAAACTGGAGCTGTGTACAGAGAGGAACAAAGGAGCGAATCGGACGTAAAACTTTAAATTATAAACAGCGGATTTCTAACATTTGACATTTCATATGGCCGGACTGGGTCAGTTTCCAGGGCTGAATTTTAGTCCCAGTCCGCCCCTGCGCGTTACTTGTAACGCGTTAGTCCCAACACTGCTTCTCAGGCATGCCGGGTAATCTGTGACATTTCGCTCTCTCAAAAGTTGGGCCATTTTGTCATCATGCGCTAATGAGCAACTCTCATAGGAATGAATGAGGCCCCGCCTCCCACGCTGTATCCAGTTCTTATTATACATCCATGGGACCATGCCATTTCTCTAACGCTAAACCGGAAGTGAGGCTAAGAACGGCGAACTTAAAGATAACAATACCATTAGCACTCCTAGTGGTGACTTTATGAACTGCAAACAAATTATAACATAAAATGCCTTTAAGGCAGCACACTGTTTGAAGCGCTGCACATTATATAAACTAACGTTACACACGGCAACGACATTAACTGCAAACAGTCGTGACTTGTGTGAAGTGTAACATTAAACAATATATTAACATATTAAATACAACATTTATGACACCACTCGTTCCACTCAGTAACCCTCTTTGTTGTAAGACATGTGATAGTCTATACACTATCATCTTCTCCATCCATTTACACAAGTGTGATGTTACTGGGTAATGATCACTTCCTATGGTACAGTCACTTTTTACATACCATTCACACGATTTAACTAAACTATCCGTCACAAGTATGAGGTCCAAACATGATTGTGTCCCCCTATTCACGTCTATTCATGTTTTTTGGCCATCATTACGGCCCGTCTACACTACAGGCATCAAAAAATCTTGAAGCTGGGCGTGTCTGAGGCTTGGCGATTTCTCGCGCCCAAGGCGACCAACAACCAATCACATGAATCTCCCGCCCCCGACATACAAAGCAATAGCAATGTTAAAACGAAGTAAACTGGATATAAAATCCCCAAACAGACGAAAACCTACCAGTTTCACCCACTGTCTCTGCCACCTCCCTCCATGCCTGGTTCCTCCGGTTTGTATCCCGGTAAATAGTTCTGGTCGTAAAGAACCGGGTGATTTGCTACCGTAATTTCTCGTTTGGAATATGAGGAAATGAACTGTGGTCTGGCTCTCCCAGCTTTTACGCGGTTTGATTGGCTAGCGCTTGTACTGACGGGATTTGCATAAACGGGATTTGATTGGCTGATGCCAAGCATAGAGCCTCAAAAGTTGAACATTGCTCAACTTTTGATGCTCGCGATGCTTGCAAAAGCAAGTTTGACATTTAATTGAATAAACATTTCTGGGTGGGTTAGGGTTCCCATATATCAGATTCCTGATCTGGGCCCTATTTAGAAGACCCTGAAGAAAAAATTAGGACCCCATATTGGGTTGACGGACCCCCCCCCCCATAAGTACAAGTATACAGCAAGTGAATACTCGTGTTACTGTGTAATATGTGGAAAGTGGGACCCCATATTGGGTTGACGGACACCCCCCCATGCAGTATAAGTACACACTAATGAGAAGAGCGCCATCTATGGTCCAATGCATGCATACACACTCATATGCTGTTTGTGTACTCATTTAGACGGTAAAAAGCCAAGGCGATCCCATGGCCAAGTCTGGTGTGCCCTCGAGGGTCAGAACCGACCATGGGGGTGAAAACAACTCTGTCTGCCTAATGATGAGCATCTTCAGAGGCTCTCACAGAGGCAGTGCTCTCCGTGGAAGAAGCACTCACAACCAGAGAATAGAACGGCTCTGGGGTGACCTGTGGCGAGGTGTGAGCAATGTCTATTACGACCTCTTCAACTTCCTGAAGAGTGAAGGCATAATAGACATAGACAATGAAATGCACATGTGGGCCCTGCATTATGTCTATCTCCCGCGCATAAACCATGACCTACGGGGTTTTTTGGACCAGTGGAACAATCATGGGTTGAGGACCGAAAGACACCAGAGTCCCATACAACTTTTTGTCCAAGGTAGCCTGGAACGGCAGGGCCAGACCACTTCTGCCATGCAGAGCCTCTTTGGTGGAGGACAAGGAGATGCTCAGGAGGAGCCAGAGAGAGAGGGTAGAGCTGATGCAGGAGATGATGCTCAGGAGGAGCCAAAGAGAGAGGGTAGAGCTGATGCAGGAGATGATGCTCAGGAGGAGCCAGAGAGAGAGGGTAGAGCTGATGCAGGGGATGTTGCATTGGACTGGCCAGAGAGGGTCACCGTACCTCGAAATCAGCACCTGCTAAGCCAGGGGTGGGGAACCTTTTTCCTCTCAAGGGCCATTTCAATGTTTTCAACATCCTCCGAGGGCCGTATCAATTATTGACCTCTGCTTAAAAATACTAAAATCACAGCCCACTCATTTCACCTTTCTTTCATGCTGTGCAAAGAAAAAGCAACCTCTTAATCCAGATATCTTGCCATGACTCACGTATGCATGCACGTGCAGAGTTGTGGCATGACCACCCAAACAGATAGATATGGACAAGATGGGTGCAAATGTATTTAGACTCCTATCCATGTGAACATGATTTAAGTGGGGGGGACCTAACCTCCTCTAGGGGGGCATGCTCCCCCGAGAAGATTTTTTTTTAATGTTGAAGTTAAAAGCATCAATCTGGTGCACTTTGAGAGCAACATTAGTAGCTATGGATACATCTCTCAACACCCATATGAAACAAAACTGTAAGCAGATTTTCTTTTCCTTTATGGATATTTTACAAATCACTCCCCTTTCAAACTGTATTCTTGTTTATTAATAACAACTTGTTTTTACTGTCATATAGTATTTTCTACTTGTTTACTTTATTCTCTTATTTTATAACTATAATGATCATATAAAGATGTGCCTTTACCTCACTACTGGTTGTAGAAAAAGCTTCTTATATTCGTTAGCATAGCTAGCTAACCAGATGCTAATAACAACAAAGTTATTGACTGTATGATCAGTATGACCGATGAACAGATAGCCACTGGGCTTACAACTAAAGACACAGCCACACAAAAACTGCAGCATGTGTACGGCTCCTTATGGGTACTGCAATTTTTGGAAGTGCCGGAGCGGAGCGGCGTTCTGGTGCTCTCCGTCAGAACTACACCCCTGTCAGACGAGACATATACCACGTGATGACACGTTAGGCTTGTGTTGTCTTATATGATTCTGTTTTCTTCAAGGTTGTGTCTTCCTGGTCGAATGTACTTATTGTAAGTCGCTTTGGATAAAAGCGTCAGCTAAATGCAATGTAATGTAATGTAATGTTGTGTTCAAGGACCCTGACCTTGGCCAGGAAAAACAGGCACTCACTTGTTTAATTATTTTGCGGTCTAGATTTCTTTAATTTTTTTCTTTTTTGCGTGTGTTTATAAATTACCTCGAGGGCCACACCAAATGGTCTCGCGGGCCGTATACGGCCCGGGGGCCGGAGGTTCCCCACCCCTGTGCTAAGCGATGAGGACATGGAGCAACTCACCGCACAGTTTGATCCTCTTGCTGGTCGTAGAGGAGATCTTGGACTGGACGTCATCCAAAATATACTGTCATTCATGGCAACATTGAATGTTGTCTGATTTTGTCACCGACACATATTTCACAGCGGCTCCGCCGCAGGCTGTTCTTTGCCCTTTGAACTCACACTAATTTCCTTTTTTTTTAAACTACTACTTTGCACATTTTTCTAGTGTGCAGTGTATATATGTGTGTACCTATGTTTTTATGTTGTAGTATTCGAGTGAATTTTCCTTAAATAAATTACTTTGTTAGGCGAGACACGGCAGGCAAAAACATCGTTTTTCAAGTACTGGTCAATTTTGAGATTTTGTGCTATTTTGATTCCATAACATGTTTTCTTTCAGGCTTTTGGAAGGAAAACGTACAAAATACACATTTAAGTGTTTATTTTACTATAGTTTGTCTATTTGCGTCTGTAGATTTCTCCTAAATTCACCAAAAGTTAGCATTCTAACGGCCCGTCTACACTACAGGCGTCAAAAAATGCTTTCAACGCTTCGCCCATTCATTTGAATGGGGTGACGTAGGATATTTTCAAACTTCGCCGGACTGCATTGTGGGTAGCTTGGCAAGGCGTTGCAAGCGTCAAAAGTTGAACAATGTTCAACTTTTGAGGCTCGATGCTTTCTCGAAGCTGGCGTCAGCCAATCAAATCCCGTTTTTGCAATTCCCGCCAGTACAAGCGCTAGCCAATCAAACCGCGTGTATGCTGATCCCGCAGGTCTTGACTATTTTCCATATGTCATAAAATGGAGGACAAATTAATCATTGCTGTGGCAAATGTCCCAGTCCTGTATGACTGTACTCTGTTCACCTACCGGGACCTAAACCGGAGGAACCAGGCATGGCGGGAGGTGGCAGAGACAGTTGGTGAAACTGGTAGGTTTTCAACTGTTTGGGGAGTTTATATCCAGTTTACTTCGTTTTAGCATTGAATGGACAGCTAGTAATGTAGCATAATAACATATAACATATAATATATATTAATATAATAATAAAAAAACATTATAATAAGCATAATATATAACATAACACATGCACAGCTATCAAGCATATACAGTATATTTAGCCAGCTAGTAATGTAGCATAACATATAATATATATTAATAAAAAAACATTATATATAATATATTAAGTATAAGCATAATATATAACATATAATACATGCAGAGGGTGTCGTTTTTCTCATACTGATATTCTGAACAATCTGTGCTGTTGTATTTGCTGTAAAGTGTCTCTACTGTAGGCTAATTTTATTATATGTACAGCACTTTGGCTCGACCAAAAATCGTTTATAAATGGGCTATATAAATCAAACTTGATTTGATTCACAGCTATCAAGCATAGACAGTATATTTAGCCAGCATGGAATGTAGCTTAAAAATAGCATTCATTAATGGAGGAATAATTTAGTAAATTCAAGAAATTCACTTTATTATTTATTAACTTTATTATTTCATTTCATTTTATTAGATAATGTCTGCAAGAAGAGATGGAAGAGTCTGAGGGACAGGTTCCGCAAGGAAAAGAATATGGAGAAGGAGGCCAAAAGAAGCGGGGCAGGGTCTGCAGGGGGGTACAAGCCCTGGCGTTTCATGGCAGTGATGGGGTTTTTAACCCCATTCATCATAGACCGTGAGACGTCCAGCAATGTCCCCCGGCAGACCCTGCCTCCATCCACCCTGGTGGCAGAGGAAGAGAGCCAGGTAGACAGTGAGTCAGCCAGCCAGTCCACCAGTCAGCCAGCAGCAGTCAGCCAGGAGGAGAATGCTGAGGTCCGGGGCAAAACACGGGGGAGGGGGAGGGGGAGGGAGATGTCCCCGTTTGAACGAAGTCTGCTGTCTGCTGTCAGCAATTACCCAGCAATTGCCCAGCCAACCCCACCAGTGGTGGAGGAGGACGAGGATTTGCAATTTTTCAAGAGCCTCTTGCCCACCATGAGGCAGATGACAAGGGCACAGAGGGCAAGAGTCCGCCTCGGGGTACACCAGCTAATTTTTGACGTGGACCAGCAGGACAATTTATAATTTATTCACACATACTGATCCACATTACATTTTTTTACACTCATCACACACACTTCACTCAAATTCACCTAATAAAACATTTCAAGTATGTTATGGCTATACTGTGTCTTCACTTGTTCATGTGGTTTGTCAGTTGCAACATACCAGAAGCTTCATGTATGTCGGTATATATAATGTGCTTTCTTCTGTAATTGGTCATGTGAAAACCTATTGAAATTATGAGTGGTTTATCAGTAAAAACAGGGCTGAAAGAAAAAGGTTGTTAGTCATATCATAATATAATAATATCAATTCAAGAAACATGTTTATTAGGAATGTTTGATTTTAAAATGGCTCATTTGCTCTTTAAAGAAAATGGGTAGCTCTTAAAAGAGCTTTTGGTTTGGAGGAGCCATGGTGACCCTACACCACTTTATGCTGCCATGACACTACACCCTCCTCATTCAAATAGGAGCAGAAGGTCTCCCGCAGTTGGATGGATCGGCGTGTGGCGTTGTTTGAACCCATCATAGGTGCATCGCGCAGGGTTGGAGCTTCATCACTCGACTCTGCGACGACAGGGACAACAGGTGTGCGTGATGACCTTCCTATTGTCTTCCTGCGGAGGAAGTTGTGCAACACACAGGTGGCCTTCACACACAACTCTGTTACCTCCGGGCTGGTGGTGATGACACGCCGGAACATTCTCCACTGAGATGAGAGGATGCCAAACGCACATTCAACCACCAACCTGGCCCGGCTGAGGCGGTAGTTGAACAGCCTCCTTTCACGCGTGAGCTGACGTCCAGGGAACGGACGCAGCAGGTTGTCCAGCAGCGGAAAAGCCTCATCTCCAACAAACACATGGGGAAGAAGGCCCAGCCGCTCTGCTCCTGGGATGACGGTGTCAGGTGGTAGCTGCAGACTGCCATCTCTGAGGCCCTCTCCAAAAGCGGAATTTCGCAGGCTCCCACCGTCGCTGCTCCTTCCAAAACCTCCGACATCCACTACCCTGAAGAGGTACTGGGCATCCACGACAGCCAGTAGTACCAAGGAGTGGCTGGACTTGTAGTTGAAGTAGAGGGACCCAGAATTTGGATTTGAATTTGGATCACCACGTGCTTCCCATCAATGGCACCAACGCAATTTGGAAAGTTCCAGCGCTCCTGGAACCCAGCAGCGATGGCTCTCCAGTCCTCCGTCTGTGGTACCGGCATGGTCTCCTCGACCAGCGCGGCGGTCCAGATGGCACCCGCAACCTCCTTGACGATGACAGCCACTGTTGCATGCCCGACCCGATAGCTGAATGCTATGGTCCTGTACGAGTCACCGGTTGCCAGGTACCTGAGAAAAAAGTAATATACAAGATTTTTTTTTTAAAAGTTATACGCCACGCAGACACACACACACCACAGACACACACATCACAGACACACCACAGGCACACACATCACAGACACACACATACACCACAGGCAGACACATACACCACAGGCAGACACAAACACCACAGACACACACATCACAGACACACCACAGGCACACACATCACAGACACACACACATCACAGACACACACATACACCACAGGCAGACACAAACACCACAGACACACACATCACACAGACACACACACCAACATACCACAGACACACACATCACAGACACACACATCACAGACACACACACACACACATCACAGACACACACACACCACAGACACACACATCACACAGACACACACATACACCACAGGCAGACACACACAGACCACACACACACACACACACACACACACACACAGGGGAGCAATACTGCGTTTACCTAGCTATCTTAATTAATGTCATTCATCTGAACTACATCACAGACTTCATTCATCCATTGCATGCATTCTCTCTCTTTATATACAGAGTCATATTAAAGAAGTATAAATACACAAAACGTACCGTAGGCAGATGGCGAGTCGCTCGGCGGGTCCGATTGACAAACGCATACGGGTGTCTGCCTTTGCAATCAGTGGACCGACTTTTCCGAGCAACTCGTCGAACGCGTCTTTGCTCATCCTGAAGTACTGCTGAAACAGTACACCGTCCAGGCGGAGCTCTTGGACAAGAACGTGGTATTCCCCCCGTTGCAGACGTTTTCTGAGTATTGTATGTACCCAACAGCGACGCACTATACGTGGCCTCCTGCGAGACATCGCATAAACTAACGCTACCGTTGCTACAAAACCGGCATCCATTTTGGCAATAGTGTAGAAGAACCGGGCTTTTTTTTGCTTTGTATGCTGGGGGCGGGCGGGAGATTCCTGATTGGTTGTTGGTCGCCTTGGGCGCGAGAAAGCGCCAAGCCTCAGACACACCCAGCTTCAAGCTTTTTCGAAGCCTGTAGTGTAGACGGGCCGTAACGTAACATAAAGTACCGCGACCGCTGTGTGCACCATGTCAACAGAGGTATCAGCTGGAAAGCTCCGTCTCTCCTGCACAATCTCATCGGATCCAAATATGGTCATTTCCTTTGTATCAGCAACCAATCGTGAAAGCACAAAGGGGTCTTAAACCAATAAACGAAATCTCATTGACTGGTGTCAATTTCTGACAACGTGATTCGTTCAGATGCGTCACGTGGTGTGCTAAAACACTTCCTGGTTAGCTTTCAGCTAGAAATTGAAATCTCAAAATGCCAAAAGAACGGCGAAAAAAACGTTCACAGAGAAGACGACAACAATTATCACTTGCACGAAGCAAGGTTATAAAAAAAAAAATTACCCCGAACATGAAATACCTTCACGGAGTGCGTCGATGCGCAAGCTGTCATCCAAAGAACAGGAGGGTTTAGCTAGTGCCTCACTGCAATCTTTAAAGGTCGTTTTCTCAAAATGAGTTTTTTCTCCTACTCTGAGTTCGAAATGTCAACTTCAGTAGCACGTAAATACACCAAACCTTCCAGTTATATTCCTATCAATATTATGAAGGCTTTTACAGAAGGGTTTGTTCATATATATAATTCATAGCCTGAATTATATAACATTGTATACCTAAAAACATGGCGAAAATGGATATTTTAGGGTTGTTGACAGTATTTTCTGATTTATGGAGTGATAAAAAGAGATATCCAATATCCCTTCTGTAAAAGCCTTAGATACTAATATGACTACAAAATGAAACAAGAATTTTGAATCTGGCTATATCCAAAGTTCAGATTTCGATTCCTGAAATGTGTTAAAATATGTGCATATTTAATGAGATAATGGATAATTTGCATATTTAAACATGCTATTTCAGAAAACTTGTAATACAAAAGACAATTGCCGTATTGTAAGTAATTAACTGGAGAAATTTCTAGCTGATACCTTTAAGTTAAAAAATGTACCCTATTCACCTGGGGTGTCTCGCCTTAAACAATGGTCTCTGTCATTGATGTTTACTAGCCCTGCTTGTGGCCTGCACTTTGCCACGGTGACTGGGCTTTATATAGTCATCCATTGGGATGTGTTTTCGACAAATAACAGTCCAGACCTCATGGGGAAATTCAATAATAGCCACTAAATGTTTTTTTAAAGAAAACATAATGTGTTGACATTGATATATTACAAAACATATCCCTGAGTTTAACATTGTTCATTAGTGCCACAGTACATAAGCACATACTGTAGGAAAGAAACAAAAAAAAGCTATAGATACATGCACATATGCATTGCTGCCTGAGAACATGCACAGCTTGAAATGCTATTAATATCTGCATGTGAAGTTTAAAAAATGCTCTTGTTTCTTTTACTAATTACAATGCTTTTCAACATGTATCTATCCATTTTCATTCAGTCTTCATACGCGATGCTGTTTCTTGGTGAGCTTGACAGTAATTCTTGACTCCAATGAGGTGAAGAGGCTAAAATTAAGTTTATAATGTAATCTCTGGATGTTCTCAGACATCTAGGATATGTTCTTGTGAGTACCTGGGCATAATGTAATAAAATATTCCGACTGACTAATTGTGATGCCACTTTTACCTACTGATAATCTAAAACCTACTAACGGATCATGTAAAACTCTCGTGAAAATATAATGCATCATTGGGAATTGATCACGTTTTCAGGTTCGTTCATTTATTTTTTAAAACTGATAAAGTTATACATTTGATGTTCTAAGACCTGGGATGTATGTCATACACGTGTGCCATGGCATACACTGGGAACTACACTGTGTTTTGTGTCCACTTGCACTTCATCCCCTCGTCACCCTGTTTGTATATAAGTCATGGTTGTCTGTCCTGTTCTTGTCGGTTGCTTGTTCTATATCGTATAAGGCTTCGCCCTCTAAGGCTATCGCTATTGGGTAATCCCCACTGCACGTGTGCAGCACTGACAGACTTATTCCACGCCCACCTATGACGTGGGCCCCACCTCCAGGCTCACTTCCGTATAAATATGAAGTAGGCCCTACAATCCACTCCTACTTTTCTTCAGCACTCCGTTGCAGTTCTTTTAAGAGCTACTTACTGAAAAACAAACATTCCTCCTAAAAAGCTTTGTTTTTCTGGTAAGATGGAGACTGGGCAGGAAAGTCAAGGCTGCGTTAGGAATTGCCCCGTGTGCGGGTCGGGCTACATTATGAGTTTTGACAGGCACTCACAGTGTGAGTCCTGCCTGGGAATAGAGCATGCGAACGCTGCTCTTACTCCCGGGATGTCATGCTCGCATTGTGCCCATCTCCCGCTGGCCCTCAGACAGCAGAGAGCGGACGCTCTCGCTGCTGCAGAGGTCGAGGACGATTGGCCCGTCCAGGAGGAGTACTCCGGGGACAAAGCCCTTGATTTCCTGGATCCGAATGGCGGGCACGAGTCGGACGACTACGTCCCCTCCATTCAGGGATCACCAGGTGATTCCCCCATTATCTCTCCCCTCCGGACGGAGGAGACAGGTAGGGGACCCGGTGTAGGTCCGGTGTATGATCCCGTGATCCCTATCTCTGCCATCACGGCGTTGCCGTCGATTGGCGGGATACTCCTGGAACTTCCGGAGA